GAATATCAAAAAATAGGGGTATTAGTTTATGCTATAGCTAGGATTTGAACGTGGAACCCCCTTACTATTAGCTTTGACATCTTCCACTAAACCACAATTACTTACATGATACACTAATATGTTTTATTGCATATATATAATTTACCGTTACAAATAATAAGTAAATTAAATTAAAAAACCTCATAATTACATATGCTTATTCAAGAAGGGCTAAATTACATGTTTGGTCACTCAAATTATATAAATCTTTCACGTTTGCCACCCGAATTACTTTTCTTTCTTATTCGCCACTAACTTTATGAATCGTTTCACGGTTGGTCACCGGCCGTTACACTCCGTTAAGTTTGTCCTACGTGGCAGTCAACTATAAAGTTTGACCGTTAACTAGATGACGTGGAAATTAAAAAAAAATAAAAAAAAAATTCTTTCCACCTCATCATTGCACTTATTTTGTCTATATAATTTATAATATTAATAATTTAATAAATTACAAAATGGGCAAATCCAAGTTGAGTTGGGATTTGGGTCGTTGCTTTCTGATCACCCCAGTGAAATTGGGGCGGCAAGGAGCCAAAATCGCTAAACAAGGAGAAGAAGAAGCCCGACACCGGCAAAGGCAAGAAGCCAAAATCGCGGAAGAAGCAGCAGAAAACGACGACTGATTGATTGATTGATTTCGAACACTTTTTATACATATCCAGTGTTGATTGTACACCGTAATTTAAAGCTGTTCAACATTGGAGCGGAAAAACAGAGGAGCAAACAGAGCTACTTGTTACTACTATTCCTCTAGTGCAGCCACGTGAAATTGGTGATTCGTTTCAGGAGATGGCGACTTGGAAGGACTTGGGCTTGGGCGGCGGAGGATGCTTCTCGACGACAACCCTCAGCACTCCGTTCTCGCACTTTGCGGAGATGACTGAGACATTGGCGTTCTCCGGGAGGCGGAACCGCCGTATCAGCTTCTGAGGGCTCCGCCGTTCCAGGCGGATGTACTTGCAGCCTTCTCCTTCGCCGACGCCTCCGTCCACCTCCTCCCGCTTCCTCTTCGAGGTGCTCTAGACAAAATAAGTGTAATGATGAGGTGGAAACAAAATTTTATTTATTTTATTTTTTTTAATTTCCACGTCATCTAGTTAACGGTCAAACTTTATAGTTGACTGTCACGTAGGACAAACTTAACGGAGTGTAACGGCCGGTGACCAACCGTGAAACGATTCGTAAAGTTAGTGGCGAATAAGAAAGAAAAGTAATTTGAGTGGCAAACGTGAAAGATTTGTATAATTTGAGTGACCAAACATGTAATTTAGCCATTCAAGCAGTAAACGAAAATTTAACCCTAACAAACGAGCTTCTTGATAGTTGAATGTATTTTACAGACTTTTCAAAATATGAGAACCTGTCGTGGGTCACTATAAAAAATTGATAGTCATTTTAATTTTTTTAAATTGACACCCCCTTACCCAAAATCCTGGCTACGCCACTGATCGCAACCATGACCACCACCACCAGCTGGCCGTGGAGGTGCCGAAGAAGAGGACCGGAAGAGGACGTGAAAGTGGTGCAGGTGCGGAGGTTGCTGTCGGACATGGCGGAAGGGTCGCTGGTGATCCCACCGCCGGCCGGCGAGCTATATGGAGTAGTGGAATGGAAGACAGCAACGTTCGAGTGGGGTTACCTGGAGAGCTGCCTGGTATGTCATTGCTGACCATGATTGGTCGCTGTGGAGTTAATTGCTTGGCTAGTGGTTTGAGATATTTTTTGGGAGTCGTCGTACGTTTCGTGAAACAGTATAAAGCAGAATGAGTGGCCGTTGTTTGCTCATCAGAGGTTGTGGACCAGCTTGCAAGAAAATAGTGGTTAATTATTAGCATATTTTCTGTCTTTATCCCCACAATGTTTTCTGCGACTATGGAGAGATCAGAGAAGGAAGGCCGCTTGTGCTGATCATAATAATATCTTCCTTTGTTTGTTTGCTCGAGTATACGAATATTCCTGTTTTCTTTCGAGGAAAATAATGGATGACGATATATACGCGTGGTTTATTACCAAATATGTTGTGTATATTGCAGTAGCTCAACGGTGGAGCTAAAAGCTCAAGATCGCGTAAATAATCATTAATAATTAAATCTGGACCCTTCATTTAGAAAATCCAGATCTATGGAGGAAAAATTAAAGGTCGTTTTTATTTTCTCTATCTTTCTTAATCGACTCATATCTTTTTCGTTTTAACTCGGATTTTAATTTTTTTGCACAGATGGAACGAGTTCATCGTGCTCTACAAAATGAGATCAATTTTCAATATTTTTTGAGAAAAAAAATTATGGCCTCTCGGTACCAACTGCATACCATATGGTATCTTCTTCGTTTTTAATTCGTTTTTGAAAACGTTTGCACAGAAGGGACGAGTTCATCATGATCTATTGGATCTACAAATTTCTGGGTGAACAAATTACAGGACCAAAAAATATCACACAATACCATACAATACCACCCTGGTACGGGGTGGTATCTTGTGGTACACAATGTTAAAAGCCGTAAATGACAATTAATATACTTATACTATCATGTATTCAACCATCCTACAGTCTTGGTTTGTTCATACCACCATGGTACGCTTTTCAAACTATAGGTATGCTTTTATTTCAATACCAGTCAATACCATATGGTATACACTGGTAAAAAATGGCTCAATTTTTTTTTGTTCGAAAAATATATCGAAGTGGATATTATTTTGAAGAACACAATTATTCTGATCTAACTGTGAAAAAAATTAAATTTCGACTTAAAACGAGTGAGAAATCGCTTGTCAAAGATTAAGGAGGAGAAAGTTAAAGGCTTTCTAGGAGAGAGAGAGGATGCTGATGTGGACGGGTTACTCATAATTACTCACCATAAGGTTACTGACTTGATCCGTTCCCGAGCTAAAGAGTGTATACCTCTCGATTTGATTATGAGTTGTAAAATGAGGATTATATGATAATGATAAAAGTGGTTAAAATTTATACAAGAATTTCTCTTAACCATTCGAGTTATTGGACCAGTTGATTTCTGATATGGTATCAAAATTGGTTTCTCGTCGATTTCACGTGTTCACATCCCTCACATCCTTATTATTAAATAATGTTGCCTTAAAGCACATTGTATGCCGGGGTCTCGGGACATGCAAATTTCAAGCCTATCAATTGTTTTTTGTTTGAGAAAATATAGTTGAGATTTATAAATGAACTTCACCCAACTACTCGAGTTATTGAGACTAGTTAGTTTATAATTGTAAAAATACTGTTACATCATCTCATCCTACTTGGATTCAACCAATAAAAGAGCTTTGATTTTTTAGGTCTATCCTTATTCTAATTCTGGTTTCGCCATTAATTGCAAAGTAGCTTAGATATTTATCGTTTCATGTTTGTTTCTTTGACCTTTAAGAAACCTTGTCATATGTTCTTGTAACTAGAGAGAGAGAGCAACTTGAGCACAAAAAACTGAAGTTTTGGTGTCCAAGACTTTGGTTTATTAACACTATCAAAGACTGAAAATAAGCCAAACAACCACAAAAATAGCAGCTTTAATTAATTTAGGGTCACCACCACAAGTGCCCCACCAGGCCAAAAAAAGGAACCAACCTTTGTTTCCATTTTTCTTTGATAGTGAAGTAAAAGTAAGGTTCGTTTTCTTCCCTTCCCTTTACTTTCCTGTATTGCCACTCTTCCCAGTCCAGGTACTTATCACAGGGACAATTACACAACCGATCACTAAAGTTGAGGAATCTCAGCACAATGGCCACTATATACGCTTTTAAGTCTTATCGAAGTTTAAAGAGAATCTGTCAGTCATTCTGTCCGCTTTAGTCATGTTTCTTGTAAATGAATTTCACAAAATACAAGCGTTTGGACTGCTTCACTGCAGTTTCCAGTGATTTCAGTACTAGTTTGCTAGAAAATGGAACGATTTACTCGGATCGCATATGTGATTTACACAAATCGTTGCGTACAGACGCGATCTGGTTTTTAAATCACCGATGACTCCCATAACCTTTATCTATAAAATGCATATAACAACAAACAACTTCATACGAATGGAAATTTGCGTTCGATTATCCGATTGTAGCTCACTTTAATTTGAGTAAATAGCATATGTTGGTAGTGATGCAGTCAAAGTATAGTTTCTAATAACATAGAAATAATGAGTGAAAACTTAGCTTAAAAGTGAACTGTAAAAGCGTAAGTTTAAATGAAATATGAAAATTATCATCTATCTTTCGATTACAACCTACAATTTTTTTATGAGTTTGACTGTTGTACTCCTGAAATATACGATACTCTATATGCCTCAAATGACTCCAAATGAGATATATCATTTAGATCATGAAGCGAATTGAGTTTAAGGGAGAGTTATTTGGTAATAGGATTTGATAAAAGATGAATTTGAGTGGCCAATTTATTAGTGATCCAAAACTTGAGTGACCATACATACATGTGATCGATCCCCAGTTTTGCCCCCAAATGGACAAAGCGTGGCAGGAGAGTCACTCTGTCTGTTTCCTCCAGCCAAGCAAACTTAATTGGGCCCACTCTACAAAACAACTTGGCGCCGAACGCGTGGCACCAAAATCTATATCTACTCCCTCAACTTCCCTCCAGATTCACTCACACCTTCCAATATATTAATCCATCTCCAAAAACTAAACACAGAATCAACTCATCCCTACCAAGCTAAATTCGGATATGGTCTTCAGCAGTCTACAGCTCAAATACTCCGACTCATTATCCCCAGCGTCCAACTGCAGCCGCACGCCTTCGTCGGCGGCGAATAATCACAGCCACCACCAGCTGGCGGCGGAGGTGCCGAAGAAGCGGACCGGGAGGAGGGTCTTCAGGGAGACGCGCCACCCTGTGTACAGAGGCGTGAGGAGCCGGAAAGGCGGCAAGTGGGTCTGCGAGCTCCGCGAGCCCGTCACCGGGACGCGGGTCTAGCTCGGAACCTACACAAACCCCGAAATGGCGGCCCGGGCTCATGACGTGGCGGCGCTGGCGTACCGCGGGAAGTCCGCCTGCCTCAACTTCGCCGACTCCGCCTGGCGCCTCCCGGTTCCTTCTTCCACCGACCAGATCGAAATCAGGCGGGCGGCGGCGGAGGCAGCCGAGTTGTTTCGCCCCCGCTCCCCCGCGGCGGCGCCGGCGGCGGATGAACGGGATTATAGTACAGGTGAGAATGGTGGGACTGATGACAGTGATGTTGACGTGTTCAGTTATGTGGAGGAGGTGGAACTGGTGCGGATGCCGGAGTTGCTGCCGGAGATGGTGGAAGGGCTGCTTATTATGTCGCCGACGGCGAGCTACGGAGCCGAAAGCGACGGGTGGAGCTACGTGGAGAGCTGCGGTAATGATAATAATGATGATGCTGTTGCTGATTATGATTGGTCGCTCTGGAATTATTAGTTTGGTGCAAGATATTTGTGGGAGTACTCAAGTGGGTAAGAAAAAAAAGTATGTGGCCTTGTTTGTCCAGAGATGTTGAACCAAGTATTGAAAACTAGTTGATTGATTCCAGTTCTTTTCTGTGTTTGGTTCGTCCTTTTTCAGAATTCTGTCCTATGTTTATAAGGGATATAGAAAGCTAAATGTGCTCACAGTATATTTGTTTTGTTTGAGCATGTATTGGTTGAAATGGGAATACTTCGTTTTTGTGTCGGTTGGTTCGATGTTCAAGGTATATATGATCCATTATTTTGTTTGGGTTGGTTCAATATACATAAATTAAATTCTCTAGATTTCAATTGGGTCGGTTGGTTCGATTTTCGTCGCAAAAGGTATTGGCGACGAAATCGTGTGTCACAAAAGGAGTCAAAGCTCCGCCGCATATAACGCCTCTCCAAAAAATTATGCGAAAAAATAAATGCAATCGTTGTCAAAAATGCACTTCTGTCGCTAAAAACTTACGTTTATGCGACGAATCAAGTTCTCGCAGAAGGTTGCGACATAATTTTTTTTTACCTATAACATCTTTCGCGATGCGTTTAGTCGTCGTCGAATGTTGCGACGAAACTACATTGTCGCGAAAATAGTTTTATGCGATGGAAATTCACGTAGCAGATTACGAGAGAAGAATATTTTCGTCGCTGAAATATACTTACACAGAATGATTTAGCGATGAATATTTTCATCGTTGAGTTAGGGGTGGAAATCGGTATCGGTATGCCGGTACTAAATACCAAAAGCGTGAATACCAATCACATCTAAAATCAATCTCAATCTCTAACTAATTTCGCTATCCCAATGCCAATCTCTAAATAATTTAAATGCAAAACATGATGCTGCTAATCAAGTGTTGGGAAACCCAATCTCCATCAGGGTGTCCCTAATAAAATCCCGGCGAAGGCGATCATAAGCTTTCTCAAGATAGATTTTCATAACAATCCCTCCTTCTCCGCCTTTTTTCGTCCTCGAGAAGTGTAGAACTTCTTGTAAAATGAGGATATTATCTATTGTCTGCCGTCCCGGGATGAAGCTGCTTTGAGTTGGGGCAATCAGCTTCGCCATGATTGGTTTTAAGTCGGTTGGTCAGCACCTTAGTTAACGCCTTAAGAAATACATTGTTCAGGCAAATCTGTTGAAACAACCCGATCCTTTTTGAAAACCAAACCATAACTCAAACCAAAAACCGGTTACTCTGGAGCAACCCAAACAACTTTTTAAAATAAATAAACAGACAATGTTTAAGATTTTCAAACAAAAAGGCTGAACACTTGGGCAAATGACAATCCCAATACTTAAAATGAATGAACTCAGAATCTCCAGTTTACACTCCTAACCATGTAACAAATAAATTAAACTATTCTAGCTCTGACTCTTCAAGAGTTCCTTGACTTCTCATCAATGCTGGTGCAGCTACTCGCCTCGCCTTGCCTCTTCTCGAAATCCACCTCTGCTAACCCTTCCTCGACCTGCCGACCTGGTGAGTGAGAAGGGGTCAGTCTCGTCGTTACTTCCTAAGGTCTTTGCCCTAAACAAACTTTCTACTAACACATTATTAGAGTTTCCTTCCTAGCACGAAAGCCATTCTCGCTTTCTGCTCTTAAATAATCATCCTTACTAAAACACGTTATTTGGGGTTCTTGACTCAAACAAAAGTCTTTCTCGCTTTCATCCTTTATACTTTGTTATCAAACCAGTCTATAAGAGATCTCTACTCATATCATATCCTTAGAGTTTCCTACTTATATTCTTAATTCATAGACACCAACACTAGGGACCATCGCGTTACGTCTCGCCGTCCGGTTGCATACCCAAACTCGGCAATGACACTGCGTTACGTCTCGCCGTCCAGTCCATGTCTAGTCAACTACTGCGTTACGTCTCGCCGTCCAGTAGTGACCCAACCGCCTGGGGGTTCATCTTACCATTAACCAACTCTTACAATCATACACCCATAACACAACGCGTACCTCCACCCTTATAGGCGGTGGGATGCCTCACACACATATCGCGCAAACTCATAAATTAACTAATGAATAGCTTGAACGAAAAGCATAAACTAAAAGACCTAAGACATAGATTTTACCCCATTTACACTCACCTCGAAAAGATGACTTCTCGATTCCTTCCTCGAAGAAACCCCTCCTTAGCCGGATTATCTTGGGGATACCTATTAATAATAATCCATTTTCTTAGACGACTTTTCTCGATTTAAACCCCTTTTGAATCACTAGAACATCCTTCCCTCAAAATCCAGCCCTCGAGCCTCGCTCCAAAGGACCCTTAACCCCCTTTAAAAATTTTCTAGAAATAATCCCTTCAAAACCGACCATTTTTCCTAATTATTTTTGTCTTGGACGAATTTTTCACCTAACTTGAACCTTCTTAAAAATTATGATAATAATTTTTCTATGTCAATCATGAGCACCTACAACCTGAAAAATTATCAAACCCTTAAAATCACCTCGGTAAGAGTTTTATTTAACTAAAATTAAGGGGTCGTTTGGAAGTTGCGATAGTTTTGTTGAGATTGTCATTATGCATGTATTGTTTACAATGCATCATTTTTTTTGTTTTTTCAATACATGGATTGTTTCTGTGATGTGACAGAAACTATCACTCATTTTGAGTGATTGTTATATCTCAACTTTTAGTTGTGATTGTTGAGATAGTTGAGTTGAGATTGTTTTGTCTCAGCTTTTAGCTGATGCGACATACACAATCACACATACCAAACGTTGTATTCTACAATGCATCAAATTCGACAATACATGTATAATATTATACATGCATTCTCAACAATACATCTATTTAACAATCGCAACTTCCAAACGACCCCTAACATTCGAATAATTTCTAAAAATAGAAATACATCTTCAAAAATCCCAAAATTAAAGTACATCCATCTCCTAGACCAGCCTCAATTTATAAAATTGTGAAACATAGGAACAAACACCCACAGAGGCTCGAACAATTTAAAACATCCAAAATAAGTTTCTGCAAATTCCCAGCAGCTTTAGTGACCACCCGAAATCTGTCACTAAAGGCCTGTAACGTCTGTTGCTAAAACCCAAAATTGCACCCTCACGAAAAATCCCCAAATTAATCGACCTAACTCAAAGGGGTCGAGTTCCCTTACCTCTAGAAGATGCCTAGGCCTAGTTTGGATGACCCGGGACGTTGATCTCCTCGTTGATTGAACCCTCAAACGTCACTGGTAATAAAATACGAGCTTCGGATTAGACTATCGATGAATCGAGTTTAGAAATCGCGAAGGGGTTCGTGATCCTTACCTAGAAACACGAAAGGAATAGGATCGGGTCGGGGAAACAGGGTCGACAGTGGAGAGCAGGCGCTGCCTTTCTTATTCTTCTTTTTCCCCCCTCTTCTTCCTTCTCCACTGTGCGGCTGCTATCGAAGGGTTTGGGGGGTTTTTTTTCCTCTGGGACGTTGCGGCTGGGAAATAATTAGGGTTGGGGGGAGAATTAATAATTTTGATGTGGGGGAGTGGAGGCGCCAACCACTTTGGCCGCCCCACTAATAGATTTCTTTTTTAAAAAGAACTAATAATGTAATAATAATAATATTATTATTATTCTTAATCCGCGGCTTTAACTCTTAGCACATAACCGTCAATCCAACCCACCACGTATTAAGGTCGAAACTAAACCCAAAGATCGGTGTGTTACATTTCCTCCACCCTTATAAAAATTTCGTCCCCGAAATTTGTTCGGAAATCATTCTTCCATCAACACCCTTCTTGTTCTTCCTTCCCACAATCATCTATTCTTACTATAAGAACTTCGTTGGTACCTTTTGCTCAAATAAGTTTCCTTAGCTTGCAGCACTCGTGTAACTATAAGTGTCTCACTGCCCTTTTTACTCCCCAGCTTGATCCAAACGTGGTGAAACAAAGTGCCAATTCTGCTTGTCATGTTGATCTAATTCTCCTGGTAGTTGATGTTGAACCTAAATCCAAAACCGAGACATCACATTTCCCCCCTCCTTAAGAAAAATTTCGACCTCGAAATTTGTTCGTTGTGACGACTCCAAGTTTCACTTGTGATAATCTCTTTACAAGGTACAATACCTCCTTCTAGCCTTGATGTATTGATCCCATGACATCTTGACAGGCTCCCTGTGATCTACTTAGTTCCCCCTTCGGTTTACTTACGCGCCCGTAGCGTTGCTTAACGTGTAACTTTCCACTACTCCTTGGGTCGTAACCCTACGTTTGATTCTCGCGAACTTAACGACCCTTTCTTGCCTCCTTTCCTCAATTTGTTGGCCGCCATTTGACGTAACTCCTTGACTACTGCATGTCGACTTCCTACATACTATGCGTCTTTCTGAACCTTATGCTGATCAGCTCGCATCCCCGTAGGGTAGGAGCTACTTTGGACAACCTCTTCTCGCTCATGAAAATAGTTCACTAAGCGATCCCCTTAGGAATCTCCTCCTCTCCTTTCCGAGACGTACCATAACCCCGTGTGGCATCCTAAAGTTATTTCCTTATCATGATTAGAGTATACTGAAGATTCTAAAAATTCCCGAAAGACTTTGACTCATTTGGCCAATTACAATGAGAATGGGAAGGTGATCTAAGTGTAGCTTGGGGAGGGGTTGCACCTCCGTATTTGGGAAGGATACGTTCCATTTTGCATTACAAACAGAGCGATCAATATGACTAGCATGGAAATTACGATTGGACTCCCCTCTGAACCAAGTCAATTTGTAAATAAATAAGGTTAGCTTGATTCATCCAGTCTGAGAAGAGATGGCATCTCCGCAGAGTAGCCATAGAAGCAGGATCAGATTTCTCAATGGGCAAACTGATGGCATTGAAATCGCCCGTTAGTAGCCAAGGGAGAGAAGTATGTAAACTAGTCTTGATTATCTGGTCCTAAAAGACGATTGTGAAAATGGTACTCGGGGCTTCAATAAACGCCTGTTAAGAAGCCAAG